CCTTAACCCTTACCCTTAATTATGGCTCCCTCGGTCAGATCCGGAGGGCGAGAAGCCCCAGGCCATCCATCAAGTCACACACCGAGGAGCTCAGTGAGGATGAGCTGCAGATGCAGGCCAGCCGCCCGGGTCGGCAATCCCCTAGCCGGCTTCGATGCTGAGAAACTGTCCAACATGGGTTACACGTACTGTACATCGCATGGGATCACTGACGAGGAGGACGTACGGGCCTTCCGTCTTGGTGCCGTTCTTGCGGGTTACCCCGAGGACTACCAGACGATCGAGGGATTGACTGATATTGAGCGCGAATCTGCTGGAAAAGAGATTACCCAGAAATGGAAGTCCATCCCAACCAAGCTTTGGTTCGTCGTTTTTGGTAAGCTGGTGCCCCTCATCACCCACCATCCACCTGGAACCCCACTGACGATAACATAAGTCTGCTCCCTCTGTGCCGCCGTCCAGGGCATGGATGAGACCACCGTCAACGGCGCTCAGGTCTTCTACAAGGAGGCCTTCGGCATCGCGAACAAGGACAAACTACGCGATGCGCTGATCCTCGGCCTGACCAACGGCGCCCCGTACCTGTGCTGTGCCCTTCTCGGTTGCTGGCTGACCGCCCCCTTGAACAACTGGTTCGGCCGCCGCGGTACCATTTTCCTCTCTTGTCTCATCTCCGCGGCCGCCTGCATGGGCCAGGCTCTCACCAACGACTGGAGAGACCATGTTTGCTGTTCGTCTCGTCCTCGGTCTCGGTATCGGTCCCAAGTCAGCTACGACGCCCATGTACGCCGCCGAATGTGCGCCTCCAAGGCTTCGAGGTGCCCTCACCATGCAGTGGCAGATGTGGACTGCCTTTGGCATTATGTAAGACCGTCCCAGGCCACATCTTTGTAGAATAGGAGGCATTTGCTTACACGAAACAGGGTCGGATTCGCTGTCGATCTCGCCTTTTACCAGGTCGCTGATGAGAACCTCAAGTGGCGTCTCATGCTTGGCTCCACCACCGTTCCCGCCCTCATCGTCTGCGCTCTCGCCTTCCTGTGCCCCGAGTCTCCCCGCCACTACATGCGCAAGGGCAAGCACATGAAGGCCTACCAGTCCATGTGCAAGATGCGCATGACAAAGGTCCAGGCTGCTCGCGATCTCTTCTACGCCAACGCCCTGCTCGAGGTCGAAGCTCGCAAGGTTGGAAACTCTGGCAACAAGCTCGCCAAGCTGTTCAAGGTCCGCCGTAACAGGAACGCCATGATGCTTCCGAGTCGTCATGTCATGCAGCAGTGCGTACTACTCCCATGAGACTTTGCAGGTCATCGCGCTAATCCGCAGCATCTTAGTTCTGCGGGTGTCAACATCATTGCCTACTACTCGGCCGAGATTTTCATCCATGAAGGCTTCTCCGTCCCCACCTCCCTCGCTGTGTCTCTTGGCTGGGGCACGCTCAACTGGCTCGGTGCCATCCCCGCCATCTTCACCATTGACAAGTTTGGCCGTCGCCGCCTCCTGCTCATTACCTTTCCCATGATGTTCGCTTGTCTTCTCTGGACATCGTTCTCCTTCTACTTCCCATCGCGCGAGGTCAAAATTGCTTGCGTCACCATCGGTACATACCTCTTCGCCATTGTCTACTCCCCGGGCGCTGGCCCCGTTCCCTTTACCTACTCTGCCGAGGTCTACCCTCTTGACGTTCGCTCTCTCGGCATGTCCATTGCCACCGCCACGACTTGGTTCTTCAACTTTGTCCTGGCTTTCACATTTCCCATGCTGCGCAAGGCGTTCACGTCGACCGGCGCCTTCAGCTGGTACGCCGCGTGGAACCTTGTCGGCTTCTTCCTGACCCTCTTCTTTGTCCGCGAGACCAAGGAGAAGACGCTCGAGGAGCTCGACGGCGTCTTTGACGTGCCCGTCAAGGAGTTCTTCAAGTTTGGTGTCGCCGAGCTCAGCTACTTTGGCCGCAGGTGTCTGCTCATGAACGTCGACGCCCCGACGCCGCCGTACAGGCAGCTCGTCGTCTCGGACGGACAGCCTATGGATGAGGTGCCCGTCCCGTCGTCCAAGGCTTGAGCGTTTGCGTGTTTCGACCCTCCCACGAAGAGACGATTATGATCGCCTCCGTCCCGACGCACTTGTTGCTGCCGAGGGGCGGGGCTTCCATGCTCGCACAGCCCACGAAGCTATGTCTACTCTTCATCCTGGAGCACTTTTTGCTGCAAAGGGGTGTTTGACGGGGTCCTCGAGAGTCCGATTAGAGTGTGGCTTTAGTCTTGGCGTCGCTTCCCTGCACTTCGTCTGTTTGCTGCGGGAGAGTGCACGACCGGGCTGTGCGTCTGGTTAATCAGGTTTTCGATCGAGGGTTGACGGCAACCAAACGCCTCGCTGCGTTCGACGAGGAATTGTACGATATGACAGTAACAGAGTATACCCTGGAAGGAGGTGGGAGGATTTATCAGCGATCTGTAACATCGTGTTCCCTTTGTTTAATGCTTAATCTAATTTTTAGTCGCTACTCCGGTTGTCCTGATGCATAAAATTGGTGACCAACACATGTGACAGGAAC